CCCAGAGCACTGCCCGCCACCCTCTGCTGCTGCTTCACGGCCCCCAAAAAATCAATGAGAGTGGCCGCAGAGGAGGGGACGCCATAGTCTGGCCAGCTCAGGTACTGGAAGTGGGACACCAGCCGCTGCTCCCTGGTCTGGGGGAAAGCAGGGGGGTTAGATCCTCTCCCCTCCTCCACCCCCGGCCACAGAGGACCACTGGTGCCCCCGTGCTGTCCCATGCCAGGCAGCTGCAGCCACGCACCTCCGAGCTGTGGATCTCCAGGATGGTTTTCTTGTAATGGTTGAGGTTCTCCACGCCCAGGTTGGTGATGGTCAGGGCCCCGAAGCACACCTGGAAATCCTTCTCCAGGGGCCAGTACTGGCCACACTTTCTCCTGCCTCCCTCCTCCAGCCTGCAAGCAGGAGAAGGACAAGCTGGTGACGTCCTCCTCGCCCTGCTGGGGACATCTCCCATGCCACCTGGCCTTGGGGATCCTGCAGGGACCAAACAGTCCATCCCCGACGTGGCATCCCCACCCTGCAGGGCTCTGGCTGGCCCCACGGCTGCAGGGTTGCTGCAGAGAGCACACTGCTGCTAATGCCACATTTTTCAAAATAAAACAGGGCTGTGCCCTGCCCAGGGCACTCACCGGGTTGTCATCACGATCACCAGGACGTTTTGCTCCCACACCATGCGCCAGAAGTCACCGTAGGTGTTTTCCAGAGGCCCTGTGGGGACAGCCCGCACGTCAGCCCAAAACCTGATGGGTTTGGGCAAGCCCCTTTGCCCAACAGCCTCCGCCAGACCCCCTTGCCCTCCCCAGGGACCAGAGCCCCTTCCCGCAGGGACTGACCCTGGTGGGGATCCACCAGCCCTGCCCGTATCTGCTGCTGATTGCCCCCCACCCAGCACTGAACCCCTACGATTCAGTGCTGATCCCCCCCTCTCTGCTCCCCGCTGCTTCATCCCCAGACAGATGGGCCAAAGGCAAGGGCTGGGTTTAGGGGCAGGAGGAGGGGGCTGTCATTGCTGCTGCTGGCAGGGGTCTGCTCAGCCCAGGACCCGGTTTGTGGGAGGCAGCTGAAGGGTGATGGACCCACTGACCCTCTTCCAGGAGAAGCTCTGGTCCCTCCTGGCTGGGGACTGGGAGGAGTGTAAATGCACCCAGAGAGGCATACATGCACCCAGAGGTGGGGGACACCTGCTGGGCAGTGCCCCCCTCCCGAGCTATCCCCCTGCGCAGCCGGTGGCTGATGCTGGGCAGGGAGGTAAAGCCCACGTGTGCATCAGGAGCAAAATAACCACCTTTGTGGCTCCCCCAGGGGCTCGGGGCCGTACCCTGAGTCCCGATGTATGCATTCCTCTGCTTGTAGCCATCCATGAAGCTCGCATTGATGTAGTCGGTCAGCTGAGGGGGAAAAAAGCATGCACAGCATGAGCCCTGCGGAGCCCCGGGGCCGGGAGGACTGCAGCGGCTCCTGGTGGGACCCACGTGCCTGTGTCCTGGGCTGGCTCACCTCCGGGCGGCTGTACGGCTTCGCCAGCTTGACACGGGTTTGGTCCAGGCAGGGCACATCCCCGTACCGGTTCTTCTCCTGGTTGTAGGGTGCCCTGGGAGGCCGGGGAGAGGGAAGAGGGGATGTTTTCCAGGCGGGAAGGGAAAGGCAGCATCCCTCCCGCTGCACACGCCTCTGGTGCCTGTAGCCTGGGCTCTGCTGCCATCACCTGGCCAAAGCCTCAGGAAGCAGAGTGCCGGCCAGGTCCTGGTCCCCACTGTCCCCTGTGCAGATCCCTCCTACCCCCGGGGGCTGCAGAAGCCACCAAGGGGGCTCACAGCATCACTAGGCTGGGGGACTCCATTGCTAACCCAAAGCACCGCACCCCAAAGAGGTGGCCAGGCCACCACCGAGCAGCAGCAGCATGGGGAGGGGGGGCACCCAGATTTTTTGGAGTGAAACAGAGGACCCTGCTTTTTTTGAAGTGAGAGGGGACCCCCCCCCACATGCTGGCCCAAACCCAGCTCCTTCCCCCCAACTCACAAAGAGCAGACAAAGGTGCCAGCCGGGCTCCTGCGCCGAATATCTTCGTACTCTTCGTAGATGCCCCTCTTCTGCTTGTGGCTGACGTGATCCAGCAGCTCCTGGAGGGTGAGGGACTTGGGCCCAGGGACGTGGACGGAGCCGTTATCTTTGGGGGCCACCAGTGGCACCAGGATGAGCTCGTCCAGGGGGTCAGGGTGTCCATTCTGCTGGGGCAGGAACCGGCAGTTCCAGCTCAGAGGGTCCAGTTTGAGGGACCCCCCGAGGTACTCTGGGAGGCACTCCCGAGGCAGATGCTCCTTCAGCTCCGACATCTTCACCATCTGCACCTGCGGGAGGAAGAGCAGGGCTGACTCCCAGAAGGATGGAGAGGGTTCGCTGGGGACGGGGACAGGGATGCCAATGGTCTGGCACAGGGTCCCCATGGAGCCCAGAGATTTCCCCTAACAGCACTGGGGTCTTCCCCCTTCCTCCCCTGCCCCGGGAGGGCACCCAGGGGAACACCAGTGGCAGGCCAGGCCCCCACCATGTACCCGAGGTGGGAGCCCACACTGACACCCAGCTCCGAATTTGCAAGCAGCTCCGAGCTCCTCCCAAAAGCAGAGGGACAAAGTCTAGCCCAGGGAGACATCGGGCTGGGAATGGGCTCCACCAGCAGCACTGCTGATGCTGGGGATACTGGTTTAGGTATTTTTGGCTTTGCCAGACAGGGCCTGAGCGCAGGTATTTACGTTCCCCTTTTCTCCTACGTGCTCAGCAGGTTTCGCTTCCTTTTCATCATTTACCATTGCCCCCACTGCTGCTGCTGGCAGTCTCGCCGCGGGGAAATTGTAGGCAATTTCAAAAGGGGTTCAAGATATTTGCTGAAAATAACGAAAACAGCTTGGCCCCAATGAGAAACAGGCTGAGAAAGCCTCCGTTTCCCACGGATTTGGGCTCAGCAGCTTCCAGCGGACGGGGCTGAGGGGCACAGGCTGCTCTCTCCATCCACTCCCAAAGAGAAAACGGCCTCAGCCCTCCCTGTTGAGGGTCCCATGCCAGGGGGGACCCGCGCTCACCCGCTCCCGCAGCTTCTCCTTCAGCAGCAGGCTGATGATGGAGTAGGGCACGCGAAACCACATGGGCGCTCCCACGATGAAAACTTTCTTGAGCCGAGCTGGGAAGGCACCCTGCGGGCAGGAGGGGGTCAGATCCACGCCACCGGGGAGGAACCAGCCCCTCTCAGGGGGCTCTGCCGGGAGCGGGGACAGGTCCCAGTAGAGGTGATGACCAGCAAAGGGACCCCGAGGTGTCAATGCCTCATCTGAAGCGTGCCTCGCACACAGCCGGCAGCCCACGGCCGCGTTTATTTTTATCCGCTGATATGGAAACAAATGATTTCCTTGGAATTAGGTAGGCAGAGGGTTTGGCTCCGCGGGGGAGAGGTGAAGCCTGGGAGCTGGGATTTGCACAGAGAACACACCCTGGCCAATATTTACTGTTATTTCTTTTTTCGGGAGAAGGGAGGAGGCAAGAAATGCCAGCACGATTAAAAAATAATTTGCATCTGTTTTCCCAAAAGCACTGCCAGCAGCTGCGAGAGGAATCCGGCACGGGGACAGCTGATCCCCTCCCACCCGCAGAACACCGCAGCCCCGGCCGGGTCCAGCCTGGCAGGCTCCCAGCACCTTCCTGAGGTCCTATGGGGCTGAAGCCGGTGCTCCTCAGCCAAGACGTGGTCAGCATGGTCGTCTGGCATGAGAATTCACACCAAAACCATAGGACTTCACATGCCTGGTGAGCAAGTGGCCCGTGTGACACCCCCGGGCACTGGGTCGGCCCTGGCTGTTACCTTCAGCAGGTTGAGGATCTTCTTGCTGAGGTCCAGCTCGAAGTTGGTGTACTGCGAGCCCGCCATGTCGTAGATGAACACCAGCCTGTTCCTCTGGGTTTCAAAGCTGAAAGGGGGAAAGAGCAACATCAACCCTGCAACATCCAACTGCTCGGCTCCTGCATGAGCAGACCTGCCCCATGCTAACCTCGTCTTCAGCTTGCTGACCCCAAAAAACGCACTTCCAGAAGGACTCACGGACCCAAAGCTCGCTTCTGCATTTCCCAGCTGCTCCACCACCTCTTCCTACAGCCCTTATTTATTTATTTAAGCCTGGCTCATGTCTTAAGCCCATCTCAGCTGCATCAGCCATGATGGGCAAGTTCAGAAACGGAAAGAGCCCAGGAGGATAAATGGGACGTCCCGGCTTTATATTTTTGCCATGGCTCATGTTGGGTCTCACTGGCGGTGGGGCTGCCTCCTCCCCAGCCAAAGCCTGCAGGAATCAGGGGCTTTGCTAAACTGAAATCTGGACATTGGCAGGGAAGGAGCCTGGTCCAGGGCTCGGGGGATTTTGTTCCCCTGCTGAATGCCTCCCTGGGGATGACTGGCTCAGGTTCAAAACGGAGGCAGACAGGGAATTTCAAGCCACGGGGAGCTGTGACCCTGTTCTCTTCCCTAACTAGAGGTGGGATGCCCGGAGGCAGGCAGGCAGACTCAGCCACAATTTCACCTTCCGGAATCCACATTCACAGGCGGGATGGCACACCTTTTCCCCGCAAAGCCTTTCAGAGTGATTTCATCAAAACCTCAGCAAGCAGCAGCATCTTCCCTCACCCCCGGGAGAGAAGGGGCTCCCCGGGGACCCACTGCCGTAAGACATGATGCCCCAGCTCACCTCTCCACTGCTCGGTCCAGCAGGTAGAAGAGCGCCTGGAGCACCACGTGCTGCACGCTCTTGCTGGGGTGGTGCAGCTTGGCCGTGAAGAGGGCAATGGAGGCTCCCGAGGGGTCCCGCACACTCTGGTGAGGAAACACGGTCAGGCTCCCACCGCACCCCAGGATGCGGTGTGGAGTGGAGCCAGGCACACACACACGACACAACACACGACACAACACACGACACACTTACCCGGCCTTACCAGAATGGTGAACTTGCCGCTGAGCAGCTCCGAGCGCAGCGGCTCCTCGTGTGGCTTCAGCTTCACGATGCCCTCCTTCAGCCGTGTCTCCTGCGGGCAGGGAGCTGGCATGACAGCCGGCATGGGCACTCCAGCCCTCCACCCACCATCATGTCCCTGTGGGGCACCCAGCCTTCTGAGGGAAGCCCCAGCATCCAAACCACTGCTCCACAGCCCCATTTTCCAGCACAGGGAGGAACAGCTTTGCAAAATGAGGATGGGAGAGGCATATAAGCCTATATATCCTTTATATACGGGGTGATGCTCTGCAGGCATCACACGCCACCCTGTGAGCGTGCACGCTGCTCTCAGTGGAGGGGAGGAGATTGGGGTCGGTGAGATCTCCATGGTGACTCGCCTTGGCTGAGAAAGGATTTTTCAGCCGGATAAAACCCGTAAGGGAGGGTGGGAAAAGAAAAAAAGCAAGGGGAGGGTCTTCCTTGGGACCAGAGATCTCTTGCAGAGCGGGAAGCCCTCGGTCGGGGGGGGGGAACAGGACAGGACCCAGCCCTGCTCGCTTACCCGGTAGGAGTGAAAGAGCTCGATGGCCCGCAGGACATCAAACTTGCGAGCCATGAGGAACTTGACAGCCACGTTCCAGGAAAGCGGGGACACATTATACTGGCCCGTCCACTTGTTGATCTCCTCCAGGAACTGCTTGGTCGCCTGCGGGAGAGACAAGGGGCGTGCAGTGAGATGGGGTGGGAGGAGGAGGAGGAGGAGCAGCACCCAAGGAGCATCCCTGGTCACCCTAGGAGTCACACAGTCCTCAGTGCACAGGCAGGGGCTGAGCATGGCTGGGAAAACCCAGCAGCTCCTCGGGGCGAAGCAGGGAGCTCTACAGCAGGTACTGGGAAAGGGGGTACGGGCAGCGGGGATGGAGATGGAGACAATGCCAGCGCAGGGAGGGGAGAAGCAAGTGGTAGGAGTGCTGGCACTGGAAAAACGGCCTTGAGGCTGTCAGAGACTCATGGAAGGGAGAGGGGGAGCGAAAGGAAGATTTTACAGGCAGCAAACTC